GGAACAGCAGAGAGGCAGGTTTGGCCAGAGGAAGTGAGCTAGGGGAGAGGGGAGAAGGGCTGGATTATTTCGGGCCCCTTGAGTACTGTAAGAACGTGTTTTACTTCAGCAGTTGGGGCGGGCGAAGGGTACTGCTGGGAGTTCTGGAGCTCTAGTTTCTATAAGATGCACGCTGGTGTTTTTATTTCCATAACATGAGTTCCCAAAGTGGTGCTGACTGCTGGACCAATATGGAGTATATCTTAAAATTTAGTAAACATTGCCAGATCTTTTCTGTAAAGGTTTGAACGATTCAGGCTCACACCAGCAATGAATGTCTGCTTCTCTGAACTTCTACCCACGTGGCATTGTCACTTAGGAAATTGCGTTTGCCAATCTAGTGGGTGAGAAATGGTTTCTCTTTGATGTTTTAGTTTTTATGTATGCAAATGTTTACTGGACATTTTTTCTTTTCTCTAAGTGACTGTTCAGTTCCGTTTTCTTTGGGATTATATGTCATACTTTATCAATAGGTTGGAGTCTTTATTTATCAAATATATTAACCTTAGTCACACGTGTTGAAAATATTTTTCTGCATTGTCTTTTAACACTGTATTGGGGGGTTTTTAGACTTAAATCTATTAAATCCCCCTCTACCTACTTTATTTTTGTATTTTTATTGGCTGGGCTCATATTTTTTTCTCCTATAAGTTTTTATATTACTTTATCCAGTTTCAGTGGGATTATAAATTGCAATTGCTCCACATTTATACAATAATATCAAGAGAATTAATGTTTTTAAATTGCTGTTTTTCTAATTGGGGGAACCTTGTATATCTCTAAATCTCTTTATTTAGATCTTATTTAATTTCCTTCAATAGTTTTCTTCATATAGGTCCATATTTTTCAGATGTTTATAAATATAAGTACGTATTTGCTATAGTAGCTGGTGTATTATTTCATTTCTTTTCAGTTTATGTTGTTCCAAATAAAATCTGTAAGTTCAGATACTTATTTTTTTATTCATGCACATTGGTAAATTTCTTTTCTAGTTTTTATGGATTTTAGTCAGGTCCTTTGGATTTTAATGTATATAATCACAGGACATATAATGTTGTATCTTATTTTAGCATTTATACCAATTACTTCATTTTTTTTATCCTATTACATTAGCTAAAACATACACACACACACACACACACACACACACACACACACACAACGGTAATGATAAGCATCCCTGTCATTTTTTCTACTTTGATGACTCTATTAATTTAACATTTACTGTAATATTACTGTAATTTGTTATTTTGGAAGACTTTATGTTGTATTAGCATTTATTTTCTATAGTTTTTATAACATAGTTCTTGGGTCTTATCAAATTCTCTTTTAATGCCATTTAGTGATATATTTATATACTTTTTTTTCTTCTTTGTTTGTTGATGTAATGATTTATATAAAGAGATTTCCTAAGGTTGAACCATCATTACTCTTTCTCATTTCATTATAGCCTCAAACCACAAGTTTTATTTCATCTTTGACCCAACACAATAGTTTTTGTTTTGTTTTTAAAAATCTCTGGGTGGTTTATTTTCTTTAACATGCAATCGGTTTAGTTTCTACTGATTATAACTTACTAACACATTTTTTTGGCCAAGGCTATAATCCATATTGATATACATTTCAAGGTCATTGAAAAATGGTGTGTTCATTTTTGTAGACCTTAAAATTAAATAATAAATTGTTCTTTCTAATTTCTTCATAGCCTGTATATTTTGATCATTTTTTTGTGTGTGTATATATATATATATGTTTTGATCATTTTTTTGTATATGTGAAGAGTGAAAAACTAGAAGTGAATCGTTTTTTGCTATCCATAAAACATTTGTCCTATTATTTGTTTCTTGAATTTGCTTTGATATGGAAATGAATATTCTTATTATTTGTCTTGTTCACATTTGAGTAGCCTTGCTTGCCTATCTTCTTATTTTTTATTGATTTTTATTTTTTTCCATCGCCCTTTCTCTCCTCTACACCCTCTTCCACCTCCACCCACTCCCACCCCCACAACCATGTGCCCATCTTTGATTTTAACAAACTTTGTGTCACTCTGACCTTCTTGTGTCTCTTCTTGGATTCAATTTTTGATCCTATGCTTCTCAATATTATCATTTTTTAATTTTCATTTAGTGTTTTAAATAATGTTTGTATACTGCTTTTTATCTGTTTTAACTTTTACAATCTTATTGTTTCCTTGTTTTTTGTCTCTAAAAATGCAAGCTATGTTTCTTCTTATTTTTTAGTGTTTCAAAGGTTGTAAAGTCTGATTCCATTCAACCAGTGATTATTTTTGATTTTCAATCTATATTTCTGTATTTTTAGTGTTGAATTTGAAACCGTATTTTTCCAACTTTTTATATTTAAAGAAATTATTTAACTTAAATTTTCTTCACCACTCAGCTCAACACTTTAAGGAAAAATTTTAAGGAAAATTGTCATGACTTCTATACTAAAAAATATAAGCACTTCTAGGCAAAATTAAGAAAAACTAAATAGAGAGCTTATGCAATGTAAACAGATTGGGGCTTAATATTGTTAAGATGTCAGTTCTTACCAAATTTATCTGTCAGTTCAATACAAAAAAGCTATAAAAATACAAAAGGCTTTTCTTATAAAAATTGACAAATTGATTTTCAAAGATACAGTGCCAGGTGGGTACTAGAAATATTGGGGGAAATACTCTGTAAACTATATGCTTCTCTAACCACTATCCTGTGTACCTGAAACCGATACAAAATAATATTGAAAATAAAATAGAGTGCCTTCAATAAATACCAGTTGAGTAAAAAATAATAAAAGACATGTGGAAAACCAAAATGCTTAGAAAAGCCAAAAGAATCTCCCTGACTCCCAGACTTTCTATTACCTCTAGTAATCAAGCCAATATGCTATTGGCTTAGGACAGACAAATAGATCAATGATACAGAACAGAAAATCCAGAAAAATACCTATGCTTATATGTAAAAGGCTTTTTAAATATTTTCATTAACTTTGGGTAGGCAAAGATTTCTTAGTGCACTAAAGTTATTAACCATAAAGAAAATAGATTTGGCTTCATCAAAATTAAAAATGTTCCTTCATCAAAAGATAATAGCTAATTTACTTTGTTCATTAGATTCCACATATGAGTGAAATCATTTGATACTTGCCTTTCTCTAGGCTTATTTCACTTAGCACATTGCTCACCAGGTCCATTATGCTCTCACAAAGGGTAAGATTTCCTTCTTTTTTACAGCCAAGGAGTATTCCATTGTGTAAGTCTAATAAACAGCATAAACTAACAAACAAAATAGAAACAGGCTCGTAAGTAGAGAGCAGACTGACAGCTCTGGGAAGGGAGGTAGTTGTGGGGCTGGGGGAAGAAAGCTGAAAGGGTTAAACAGAAAATGAAAAATAAGAATAAAACTCAGACACAGACAATGTTATAAGAATTGTACACCTAAAACCTCCATAATTTTATTAACCAATGTCACCCCAGTAAATTTAATTAAAAAATAAAATAAAACAAATAAAAAATAAAGACAGTTATGAAAATAAAAGGCAAACTGAGAGAAAATGTTTCCAATACATAGATCAAACAAAACACTTCTTTCCACGATATATAACAAGCTCCTACACATCAATAAGTAGTAAAAGACAACATAGTGATCTAAAAGAGCTAAAGACTTGAACAGACACTTCGCAAAATAAGATATGTGAATAGCCAATAAGCATGTGAAAAAGTCATTAATATCATTAGTCATTAAAGAAATATAAATTGAAGCTATTTGAGATACTACATCAAACATTAGAATGGCTAAAATTGGAAAGGCTATATCTCATGGGCTTTGAAAAACAACTTGGCAGACAACTGTAATGTTTCAACACACTCTTACACAATGACCCAGGACATCCAATCTTAGCTGTTTCCCCAAAGGCATGAACGCATCCTGCCACAAAGAGAACAGCAGCTTTGTTTACACTGGTCCCAAACTGGAATCCATCCAAATGTTCACCAAAAAGAAAATTAATTAACAGATTGTGGTAGAAATACACAATGGAATACCCTCTATAATAGAAAGGAGCAAACTTCCAATCCTCCAAAAACGTGGATGATGAGCAAAAGAAGTCAGACACAAAAGCATACATGATGCCTTCCTGCCTCATGTGTGAAATCCGGCAACAGGCAACACCAACATATGGTGATAAAAGGACAGCAATGTTTTTGTCTCTGAGGCTGCCGAGCTCCAGGTGGGCAGCTTGTAGGCTGTGGGCTAGAGGGTACACTGTTCTTCATTTTCCAAATGACACATCAGTTTTCAGCACATTGTCTCCCTTTCAATCTCCGCTGCCTTCAAGATTCCATGGGGCACATGGTTGCTTTTCACCTCTGGGAGCATCCTTCACCTACCATAGCAATTGCTGCTCCTATGACCACAAGTTGTTCTATAGATTTTGGCTGAAATCTCTCATCTACTCATTTATAATGCAGGATGGTACATCTCTTAAATGCTATTGGTCAGATAGGGAACACCTTTTTTTAAAATTTCTTAGATTTATTTTCTATTTGCTGTTAATTAAGATGCATGCTCAAGGTTAGATTCTATTGATATTCCATTATTGTTTACTTCTCTGTGGATGACCTGTTTACTCCTGTCATCTCGATTTTGTACAGATTTAAAATTTTTAATTAAAAAAAAAAATCAGATATGTGAAGATAGCTCTACAATGGCTTTGATTGGGACAGACTGAACTGGACTTCTTCAGTTTTGTGTTTAAGTCTTTCTTAATCTCCATACTTTTTTCTTCCTTTAAATCTTTGTTTATTGTTTTAATTCCATTTATTTTCCTCTCTACTCAGGACCAATTACTTTACATAGGTCAGTTCTTTGCAGCCTCTCCTCAATGTATAAAATGTTACAGCCTCCACAAGCATCTTGAAATCTTGATGACCATTTTCACATGGTCTCCTTCCTCCCTAGGATGTCCACAGAAGACAGGAATAGAGAGGAGAGGCTTGTCTATGAGATTGTATTCAACCACTTCAAAAGACATAAGATCGACATTGCAAGTACAATAAAAAAAGAATTTCCTTTCCTTGAGGTTCTTCGTGACCGTGAACTTATCACCGAAAAAATGTATGAGGTAAGTAAGGTTTATTATGTTACAATCACTTAGTAGCCATATAAATCAGTAGAAATCTAAAACTTTACATGAGAAAATATCTATGTAAGGAAACTGAAAGATATTAACAATAAAATCACTTTCAAGGGCTCTTCTGTAACTTAGAAGACTGTGTTTATAGTTTCTCCATTTTTATTTTTTAAGGATTGTCAAGAATCTTGTAGAAACCTGGTCCCTGTACAGAAAGTGGTATACAATGTTCTCAGTCAACTGGAGAAGACATTTGACCTGCCACTGCTGGAAGCATTGTTCAGCGAGGTTAACAAACAGGAATATCCTGAATTAAATAACATTTATAAAAGCTTTGAAAATGGTAATTAGGTTTATTACCTACCTCTTCACATACAGGGATATTCTTTCTTCGATAAGTATATATTTAGTTCCTAACATGGGTCACACACAGTGCTGGGCAGTGGGGATATGCCAGTTAAGAGAACATACATATCATGATCCTTCTCTAAACCTTTGGTATAACAGCTACAGTAAAACACCCACCTTGAGGTCTTCTTAATTAAGCATTTAGAGTCACAAGACAACCAAAGCCACAGTGACATCATTTACTTAGAAGGACAAATGACAAGAAACACAGCATCCCAATAAGGCAATATCAGTTGCTGCTCTTCTGTGTGACCCATTGCAGCGGTCCACACAGCAGTCCACCAAGTTGACTGCTACCTGCCTCAAGTGACAGCTTGTCTGTTAGTGTAGGATCTACCCTGATTTAGCCACACCATGACCAGGGAAGTCAGTGTCTCATGTAACAATTCTGTATTCATGACTTACAGAGACATGACAAGGGACTGCCGAGTTACAAAAGCAACCACATTGGAGGAAGACCAAAAATGGCTTGTAATTCACATCTAGCCCCTTCTAGTACACACGCAATTTATCTACTTACAGTCACTTGTCATTTTTCACCCTCAATCCAGTGTTGGCCTAGTAACACAGAAGAAAGGCCACCTTAATCAGGTTTCCAGAGTAATGAGCAAGAAAATTAACCCAAAGTCAAATCTCCTCCTAAAGAAGGAGAAGTGGTTTTATTCCTGGGATGACAAAGCATCCATGGTTCCCACGGTCTTGTCCATCAACCAACCAATGGGCATGGTCTCAGGAGGAGTTCCCGTCAATGGCCTGGGTGGCCTTTACCCCCTTCCAGTGTCTTGTCCTCCATGGACCCCCATGGATACCCACCCACACACAGACTTCTTGGTTTATTTCCTCCCTCCTTACATTTGCTGGGTCACCTCCCTGCAGAGGCCCTGGGCTGGTGCTCTAGTCTCTCCTCACCAGCAGCCTACCCTGCCTCTGGTCCAGGCATCTGGGGACATCCTCCATGGCTGAAATATTCACTTCCCACTTGCAGCTTCAGTGTCCTTCCTTTGTTTCTGGAATCTGCGCCCCTTGCCCCAGGTCTGTCTAATCCCACTAGTGTCTTCTTGTCTGTCTCTGGGAGACACTCATCCTCCCTGACCCAATTAAATCCAACCTTTCTCTTCTCCAGGCCCATCTTTAAAGCTGTTGGGCTTTTTCTTTTATACACGTGGTACTCTCTAGGATGCTCGTTCACCTACTGAGGCATCCCTCTGTTTCTTCATTACCATTTGAACAATTCAGAAGACTCATTTCACTTCCAGGATTTATTGTGATATATGCTTTCCCAGCCATATGAATTTTTTTCACATGAGTTAACAGGCTCATGAGGTTTTCACAATTCCTTTATTCTCACATTCTACTGGCTCCTTTCTGTGTGAGAAATATAAAGAGTTTCTTGTTGGGGATTCTCTTTCCTGTCCAGCAATGATGGGGAGTTTTACCATGAGGATGAGAACCCACTGAGCTCGGAGAGATCCAAGATCTGGAAATTCCTTAGTGCGTAAATTTGAGATGATGTCCCTGGTCACTGATGGAATTCTCTAAGTGTCTTCTCTCTCCATTTCTTCAGCGATCCATGAGAGAATTTATCACCAAGAAAGTGATGAAGAAGAGAGTGTGGAAAACCTTAACGCACAACTGAGCATTGAACAAGGTGATTGCAACTGGATAAAAACTGATTCTCATCTGCTAAGGGGAAAGGAAAAAGGGAGGTGGGCTCTGAGTCCTGAGTGGATTTTGGGACTCAGGCAGGAACTGCTGAGGAGCCTGTAGAAGGCAAGAAGAGGTGTTTGTATGAGTGGCCAACCATGGGCTGACCCCAAAGGAGCAGCTCTGACAAGTGACCATGCGCCCAATAACCAGGACAAAGGAACAGGAACCAAATGAGTCAGGAAACCAGACTTAACAAGGAGATTGACCTGGAAGTAATTGTGATTTAGAAAGATCCTGCAGGAGAAGATCAGTGTGAGGATGTGAAGGGCTAAGAACTGTGGGCACAGTATCAATATCACGTAAGAGATCCTTGATGATGACAGAAAACAGGACTGATTTAAATAAGGGGGAGGCTGTTCAAGAGCAGACGTATTCAAAGAGATGGGCAGTCATAGGAGGAGAGGCGAGGGGAAGTGCTAAGATGTAGAGAAGAAGAGGTGGGCGTTTGAGAGAGGGAAGAAGGGGAAATGAAAGACAGGAGAAAAGGTTAAAACACAACAAAACAACTATATTATTAAGAGCTCACTTACTGAACATTTACTCTAGTGGTTGTGTGCTTAGTGCTCGCAGCTGCCATTAGAAGTTAGTCTTACTTACATGCTCATTCTGCAATTAGGACACTGAAATCTAGGGAGACCATGTGTGTAGTTGGTCTGGGGTCAAATGAGCAGGATTAACCCAGACAATCTAAACCCAGAGCCTGTGTTCTCAATCCTGTACACATCCAGATAATCTCATGGAAAAGACAAAAGCATGAAACAAAAAGAGGGAAACATATGCAGAGAGAAACATACAGAAAGAAGAATACGAAGAGCTGGGATAAGTGCAGGAGACTCAGACACAGAACCTCATGAAAAGGTCAAACAAGGCAGAGACACAGACCTGCAGGAGGAGGGTGTGGCGTAAAGGGAGCTGGGATGAGGCACTAGGGCTTTGTAGGGACTACAGTAAGGTCACTAGTCAGGGGCAGCTCTGGGGACAAAGACAGGTTCGCTATGGTCATGGGTACAAAGAAAAGCTATTGCCAGTTCCCTGAGGTGCTCATGGAGGACCCTCAGTGAAAACAACTGGCCAAGGCCCTCTCAGCCCAAAGAAGGAGTCGGGTCTAATGGCAAGAGTCAGGAGGAACCCTCCAGGTCCATGTGGCCTCATATTGACACCTGAGGGGAGGGGATCTTCAAGTCCTACTTTGTAAGGATTAGCAGGGAATTACGGGAGCTTGGCATTTCTGAAATAAACTTCAGTTTCTGAAATGAACTTCTACTTTCTTCCCCCAGGAACTGGTGAGAACTCACACCCAAGCCTGCTCTGGAGCAGACCACATTCCTCGAATCACAATGGTATGTTCCTAGTGACAGTTTTGTGATAATTTGCTGTCTTTGTCCCATTCTGGCATGTGTTGTGGGGGGTAAGGGCTGCATTTTTTTAGTGCTGATTGTCCAGAATAGTCATTCTTTGCATCTGCAGCTTCTCGAAAGATGTAGACAACAAAGCCTTCATTTTCCTGGTTGCTGGGAGGGCCGCTCCTTCCGTTCTCCTTAAAGCCATGTGCTGCCAGCTCCTGCCACCCTGGGCCTGGACCTATTGCCCATGCACCTGGCTTCACAGTCCTCTGCCTCTGCCTCGCCTGACTCTGGCTGCAGCCTTGCTCTCAGGTCACATCCAGCGGTGGCCAGCACTGCAGAGGGGAGTGGGGGAGGGGCGGTGAGTGCTCCCCCTGGGCCAGGGCCTCTCACCTGGGGGGTCCCTCACACAGGACCGTGGACACCGTGTGCGTCCCGTGCAAACACTTTCCCATCATCTCTGGGCAGCAGGCCTGGGGCTGCCCACCAAACATGTGACCAGACTCTAGGAAAACACTTTGGTACTTTAGCAACCAATAACTACTCTTGACAGCTCTTGGCCTTCCCTTAATCTATAACACTCTTAATAATGTCATTAAATTATTTAAAACATTATAAATTTAAGACATTAATCATAGAAAGTTAATTTTCTGATCAGTCAAAATATCCCTTATGGTAATACAGACAATATTTTATTTAATCTTCTCAAACACTTGAAATGATGGGGTAGCATCTGCATTTTTAATAAGACAAAGGATCAGCCTAGAGAATTAGGCTATTTGTGCAAGTTCAGCCACTGAAACTAGGGAACTGAACTCTGCCATAGGGCAGTGTCAGAGCAGGTGACCCACGGGTGACTTCAAATTCTGCCCTGTGACCTTGGAGGTGTGACTCCCCCTCTTTGTCCCTCTGATTCATCATCTATAAAATAGAGGGGGTAATAGTACCTACCTCACAGGATGACGGATGGATTTTTAACAAGTTATGTATGTAAAGCATTCACAGTCATGCCTGTGTCTTCATCAGTCTTCCATGCGTTTGTTAATATTACCATGTTTAATTCTTACCATTATTTGTCTGGGCCAGAGTCTAAGCTACTCACCACTGCAGTGAACTGTGGGATTTTTTCCTCACAGGTGTCCATGCTGGATTTAATTGTCCCCCAGGCTGTGGAGCAGTGATTAAAGCAATACCAGCCTCAGGCCCAGGAAAATAAATGGAGGACACAGGTTCCCCACCTTAGAGCACACTAGTGTATAATAAATTTCATGTCTTTATTCCCTGAGTCTACTTGGGAAATGAGTGACATGGAAGAGACTCGGTGAACTTCCTGCAGCATGGAAGGCGTCATCTGTAGCTTCCATGGGATGTGCTATTTAAAAAAGGATGTTCTAAATTAGTACATTTTTTATTGTTGTTCAAGTACAGTTGTCTCCATTTTCCCCCTACCATTCTCCCCCCTCCCACCCACCTCCACCTCCCACCCACAATCCTACCCGCCTTTGGCTTTGCCCATGGGTCCTTTACACACGTTCCTTGATGATCTTTCCCCTTCTTTCCCTGCTTTCCTCTTCCCCTCTCCCCTCTGGTTACTGTCCTTTTGTTCTTTATTTCAATGCCTCTGGTTATATTTTACTTGTTTGTTTGTTTTGTTGGTTAGTACATTTTTATAAAAGAAAAAATTCCAGGGTGATTTTTGAAAACATAGTTATACTTTTAGGAAGTCACATTTACTCAGAAAGTTGAATTTAAAAATATCGTTTAAAATGTATGAATCCTTATTAGCCATGTACCTACCAGTGCAGCCGGTGGGAACAGGAAAGGGTGAGAGGAAGGAATTGTGACACATAATGAGCAGAGAAGGAATTCGGTGTGTCTGTGTCTGTGTCTGTGTGTGTAGGGCCTAGAGGGAGGAGGCGATGACATTGTATCGCACTATGTGGCCCAATCTGGGGGCAGGCTTGCCTGGGAATGAGATCCCGGAGCAATGAATATAAATAGAGAAATGTCGACCTACATTCCAAATGATGCAAACAAACCACCAATAAGGGTGTCCAAGAGTCTGGCCCAGCAGGAGCGGTTGACTGCGACATGCGCAGGCGAGGGAAAGTTGTGCCTCACCCGCCCACCCCGCCAACCAGGCCAAGAGAACTGTGGATGTGGCACAAAACATGCACCATGGCAAAAGTTCTATGCTAAAATTGTGGGAATTCATATGTAAACCATACTTCACATAAGTTACTCTGCTTAGAAAGCAGCACTAAAAATAAAAATCCAAACTGCACTGAAAAAATATTTATCCGTTCATAAATTATGTAGGTTTGTGGGAACAGAGTGAGAGGGTCCATGGAATCAATAATGAGCAGAGAAGTTTCACCGTGGGGAAGGGGGTGCGCAGGTCCTATGTGGTTTACTCAGAGATTCATTCCTTATCATTTCCTGCTCTGCTCTGCCCCCTATCTCTGGCCACAGACCCCTGCAGACTTGCTTGCCAAGCCCTTTGTACTGCTTCCTGCTGGGTTCCTAACCTGGGAGACCCTAGCAAGAGACTGGAGAGTGGAAGCAATTGAGAAGCCAGGTATTTTGCTGTCACTTTCTCGGGCCTCAGTTCCAGCAGTAGCTGCATCTCCCATGACTCTACCTCCTACCGAGTGGGCAGCCATGGTCCAGCTTGTCCCTACCCAGTAACCTTGGTGCATGACTTCACTCTTGGTCCCCGGCATAGCTTCTTGTTGACCCTTCTTTGGGTTGCTGCATCCTTCCATTTGGACATCTCAGCTCTTCCAAGTGTATAACTAATCCCCTGAATTAAATTCCGTGGGCTCTAAAAGCTTAGGGAGCTTTGGATTTTCCTGTTGGATCCTGATTAATGCAGAGAGCAAATGAAATATCTATGAATCAAAACGTGGTCTAGGTACAGCCCCGCCTGAAAATGGACTCTCAGAGCACCTCTCTGAAACAGAACAAATAAATGCGAAGAAAAGAAGTACAACCAATGACGACAATGCGCCTGAAAGCCAACAAGCAAATGAACAATGTGACCAAGAGTCTGATCCAGCAGGTAAGACCGAGTGGCTGGGTCTGATGAGTGTGGAGGGGCCAAGGGGTACTTGCTGGTCACAGAGAATGAAGTAAGGCACGACTCAAGGGGACATCTATTAACAAAGAGAGGGAAATCACACAAAGACACAGAATGCAGAAATGGAGCCTGCTGTATTGCTAGGAGAGACCTGGAGGAAGAAAGAGAGAAATAGCCAAGAGACAAAGGGTGAGCGGCAGAGCCTCACTAGGGAAGAGAGAGAGAGACAAAAGTCAGAGAGAGATTGGCAGTAGAATCAATGAAGTACAAACTTCCATTGAATGAAGGCAGCAATATATGCGGTCAGGCTGTAAGCAGGAACAGGAGAAAGAAAGAGCAGCTGGTAAAGTGCAACAACATGGTAACAGGGCAGAGCAAGCCTCTGTGGACCTCCGCTGTTGTGTTTTTCATTTCAGGATCCTACGGACAAGTACCTACCCGAGAGGGTAATGGAGATGAAAGAAGCGAGACACCCAGCCCTTTGCCCCCTAATGAAGAAAGTAATTATTGCCTACCTTACCTTAATGATCTAAGTATCTTTGTTTTTCTGCAAGTGCAAAAGCTTTCCTTTGTCCTCCCATACTAACCACCTTCTACCCACCTTAATACCACCCAGGACACACAGCCTGTGCACAGCCTCTGGCTGCTTTTAACAGGTGGGAGAGGCCGGGGAGACAGAGAGATCAGCTCTCCGACGGAGGGGTGTCCCTGCAGAGAGACGATGGGGAAGGTGGACTGGGAGACACCAAACAACAAAGTGCAAGAGTGAGATAGAGTTCACATATATTGGCATGGAATCCAAACACTGCCATGTCGTGGAGATGGTGAAAAGAAATAAGTTGCACTTCATTTTTAGAAGTTATTTATAACAGGAACGTGGAAGTCATGGGTGATGCTGCTGGTTAGACTTTCAAGTGAGGAAGCCCAGGTGGAGGACCTTTAGAAATGAAGTGGCACAGGGGGGGACTTGATGCAGGGACAGAAGCACCGGGGAAGAATTTGAGGGATGATTTCAATGCTTGAGATCAGGACAGTATATGGAAAGCCAAAATTGATACAGAGGAATACGTGGGTCTCATTACTAATTAAGGAGTAGGGATAGAATGGAAGAAAGCAGGAAACAACAGGGTTAGGATAACCTAAAAAATCAGGGTATAGCAGGGTCAGGCCTAGAGTAGGTGGGGAGACCTGGGGACACAGAGAAGGAGGGTTTCATTCTCGACACCTTCTTGTGTCCTGGGTTCCTCCTTTGAATCACCCTAGACCCTGCTGAGTCCTGGGGGAAACTGATAAAAAGTGTGGAGAAATGAGTATGAAGAGAGAAAGATACAGAAGGAAATTAATACAAGTAAATAGAAAAATTTGCAAAGGCACAGGGAGACCTATGTCAAGAATGAGTAAAGGACAATGAATGCACAGCTGGTAGAGTGGACCAGGCAGAGAGAGAGAGGACAGAGCATTGCCTGGTGTGAGGAAACAGTCACAGGAAAGAAGGCAGAAGGGTCTGTTCCTAACGTCATTGAGAAGGTAAGCTGTCCACAGTGATCAAAATGTCCCCAAAGCCCTTCTCAGATAAAAACAGGCCCTTTTCCAGGCATCTCACTCTCTCCGTGGCTTCAGTCACCATTTATGACCTGCTGGTTTCTAAGTGCACATCTCCAGCCCAGATCTCCAGCCCAGATCACCTGGGCTCATTTGACCAAGTGCCGAAAGATCTAATGGGCATGTCTATGTGAAGGCTGTACCGCTAATCTACTGCTGAGTTAGAAAGGGCCCCACAACTTGGTGGACTGAAACACCATGAGTTCATTTGCCACTTCTGTCAAAGTCAACTTTGAAATCTCCCAGCCCGGCTGTTTCCCTCCATTCCCAGCGCACTCGCTCTAACCCGGGCCCCATGGCTTCTCACTTCAGTAGAGGAACGGTCTGCTGCTGGGCTCCGTCCTCCTCCTTGCTCCCCTCAGCCCTTTCTCTGCACGTCAGGTCCATGGGTTTTCAAAAATTCAGACCAGGTCAGGCGGCTCTACTGTTCAAAACCCAGCACTGTCCTGTGGCCCGCAGCAGCAGGCCCGTACCGCGCAGTGGGGATGAAAGGACACCGCCGCGGCCGCGTCTTCCCACCCCTCGCGCACCTTCCCACTGGGCAAACTCGCGCCACTAAATCTCTGCCTTTGCATATACTTTGGAAAACAGTTTGATGTAATCTTCCAATGGCTTTTTTAAAAAGATTTTATTTATTTATTTTTTTAGAGAGAGGTGATGGGAAGAAGAAGAAAAGGGGGACAAACATCGATGTGAGAGAGAAGCATCGATCGGTTGTCTCTCATACATGCCCCGACCAGGGAACAAACCTGCAACACAGGCGTGTACCCTGACCCAGAATTGAAACAGTGACATTTTGCTTTGCACAATGACACCCAACCAACTAAGCCACACTGGTCAGGGCTGGTTTTATTTTTTAATGGATAACTTCTATAATGGAATACCATACAGCCCTGAAAAATATGCAAAATAAATACAGATGACTATAACATACATAATGTTGAGAAGATAAGCCAAATGACACACAGAGAGAAGACATGATTCCATTTATACAAATTTATATAAATTTCAGAACTGACAACATTAATCATTTGTGATGTTAAAAGTCAAAGTGATAGTTAACATGAGCAAGATCGGTGGGGACAGTTGGTGACAGACATCACTAAGAGGCTTCCAGGTGAAAGTAACCTTCTACTCTTAAACTAAAGTAGTGGTTACTCAGATATACTTCCTCTGTAACATATCAAAATTTATGATTTACCCATTTTAATCCATGTATGTTTTACTACAATTATGATTCTTATTTTTGAAAAAGCAAAAAAAAAAAAATCAAAGAAAAATAAGAGTAGGTAAAAAAAAAAAAAGTAAAAACTAAAAAACCCAGAGTTAAGAGAGGCACAAGGGAAGGAGAAGCCGAGTCAGAAAAGGGAGCGCGGGGGGCGGGGCTTGACGGCAGTGAGGGCTCCCTCCCTTTGGGGAGACACGTGAAATTCTTGATTTCTTGCAATTTGGTCCAGGAGCAGAGCTACCCAACCAAGGAATCAAACTAAATTCCTGTTCTGTGTGTCTGGTGGATATAAAGAAGGAAAAGCCATTTTTTAATTCAGAACTTGAAAATCAAACCCAAACAAGGACTAAATGTAACAAGGTGTCTGACATAATAGGTAAGACCAGCTGAAAGGATGTGTGATGTGAATCTCAGGTCCGGGGCTAGGGTCTGGGACATGTCATCGGGGTCCACCCAAGAGATCCAGGCGACCTTGCAGCCTGCAGGAGGGGGAGGAGGGAACCAGCACCTTAGCTGTGAGTTTAGCAGAAGGGGGTTCCCGGGAAAAATACCAAAAGACAGAAACTGCAGGAACAAGTATTATCGTCCGAGAGACTATTTTTAAAGCAAGAGAATGAAGTATGGCGTTAGGAGATGAAGAAAAGAGAAAATAAGATTTTAAAAGGGAAAATACGAGAGCCAAAATAGTTTTGAGAGGAGGTAGAGAAAGAAACCAATGAAGAGAAAAAAGATATGGAGAGACACCATCGCCAGGAAGACAGGCCCAATGAGGGGACATGGGCTGAGCCAAGAGGAAAAGTGAAGAAGTAAGATGAGAATGAAGGAAGAGGTAGAGTAAAGGTGGCGGTAACAGGGAGAATGAGGGTGGAGGTAAGAGGTAGAATGAACATAGGAGTTGAGGTAGAAAGCGGGATGGGGACCGGAGGTAGAGGGTGGGGGCGGGAGACAGGGCGACCGTGGGGTAAGAAGGGCTGCAGGACGGGCACAGCTGCCCTCTGTGCCTGAACCTCACCCCTTCTGTGCAGGACCTGGAGGAGCCTGCAGGTCACACACCTTAGGGCACAGACCGGGGGGACCTGAGTTATCTTGGCTTCTAGGTCTTTCTAGTCCGCTTGTCATGGGCTTTCCTGTCCGTGGGCTCCTTGGCCCCACCCTGAGGCCCTAAGGGTTTTTGTCCTCTGTGCAGTGATCAGCAGTGATGACTCCACAGAATCCAGTGATGATGACGAGCCCCCCAAAGCTTCCAGCTCAGCACTGACGAGGGCACCTGGTAAGGAAGTGGGAGCTCAAGGCGTGGGCTGCAGGGACCTGAACTAAGAGCTACTGTCTCCTGAGGCATCTGTTCCGAGTTCATGCTGCACCGTGGATCCAGTTTGTCCTGGATCCCATTCTCTGCATTTATTTTACTTGACCTTTTTGGGAAATGCAGAAAGATAAGAAATCATTATATACATAACTATTAAGTAAACATATGCATATTTTTGAGGATGATATCTATCAATGGGTATGCATGTTAGTTGTATTGATGGTATAGTAGAAATATGCTAACCAAGTGGTAAGTTTTTTTTTTTACTAATTAATTGCTATGCCTATAAAGTGTTGAATTTCTACAGTAATTTCTATAGAGAACAGAAACCTATTATTTCTTTATTGGAAGGTCATATTGTCATCTGGTCACAAAGTCTGAAACATGTCTGAAGATAAATCATCCAACTCTCTAGTGTTCGCAGAAATAAAAACATAACAGAACTGTTCAGCAAGTCATGACATATGTAGTCATTTTTCCAAGGACCCTTGCAAACGGTATTTTACTATTTCCTTTACAACATCCATGAGGGGTAAGCAGGATGGATATTGTTATCCTTCTTCCTAGATGACAAAATATAATCACATAAGTCTTTCACATCATTTACAAAGTCTCATGGAGATACAGGGAAAGACAAAGGCTAATGTCCTGGATTCTACATTATTTCCTTTGCAAAATTAGAGCAAAACAGTGGACAAAATGTTGGTCCCTCCATCCTGTGTGTGGCACGCATTGTCATGAGAGCTGCTGCTCTCCGCGGCCCGGGCTGGTCCCTGGTTCCCCTTCCTACTCTCTGAGGATATTAGAGACATGCCTATTCAGGAAAACACACTAAGAAAAGATCTTACTAAGGACGAATTAAATTTTTACCTGATCTTGATATTCCAAAGTCAAGTATATTATTTTATTTTTTTATTAATATTCTTTTTAATCCTCACCCAAGGATATTTTTTAATTGATTCTACAGAGAGGAAGGAGTAAAAAGACATTAATGTGGGAGAGAAACATCAATCAGTTGCCTCCCATATGCACCCCAACTGGGGAGCAAACCCACAACTTTTTGGTGCACGGTATGATGCTCCAACAAAACAAGCCACCCAGCCAGTGCACAGACCAGTATTTTAAATAATACGTTTATTCTAATTGCTCTACTAGGTCTTTCAAAGTAAAATGTAAATTTACTTCAGTTTTTCAAGAGTATACTTTCTAACTTGTCCCTTAGTGTAGGCAAACTGCACTGAAAAGTGGTCCCAACATATATCTATGTCTCAGACACAAGAGAAGATTATTTCTCAGCCTTATAAACAGCCCAGGGGACACCAGTGGGGAAGGAGGCTCTCTGACTTCAACACAAGATTTCCAGGGTCTCCCCACATGAGAAACAGGAGGCGAAGAAAGTGTGAAATGACAATAGAGGGATAAGAGGAGGGAGACAGAGAAGTGCAGGGAGGTCAGGTTCAAACAGAGCAGTGAGTTGTCTCTGCTCTGGGGACAGGGAATGGAGCATCACTAACCAGCAAGACAGGGGACTTAGAAGGACAGACCAGATGGTCTACGTGAAGACTGATATACATGGGTTTTCAAGGTGTTTCCAAGTTTATTTAGGGTTTTTCTTGCTGAATTATTTCTTTGGTCCACACTGAGACACCTAGCTAATCCTATTCCTTTGTGCAGTGATTGATAGACTGATTCCTTAGAATCAAGTGAAGAAGAAGAGACCTAAGAAGCCACCTGCTTAGCGCCCAAGACTGCTCCGCATAAGAATATTAGAACTGCATTCCTGTATGAAAAATATCTAGAATCTAAACCCAGAGCTCTGTTTCCTGATGAATCTTATTCTGACATCCTCCATATGCATTGATTCAGTTACTTCTAGGATATCATTTCCTGCATTTCACTTCTGTACCTGTATTGGGAAATGGCATTATAACTATTATTTAACTAGATGAGCCCAATCAATTCATTTGTTGAAAATGCAGCAAAAAATATTCTAGTAAAATTATATTTTTTACTATGCACTGTCTTATCTGTTAATACTAAAGAGTTGAAATAATATACCTATTTTCCAGCAACTTGCTTTATATTCTACAGAGCATAGTAAGCACAGTATTTCCGTATTTGCTAACAATATTGTCATTAGTCTCTAACTTCAAAAGTCTTCAAAGAATAATTTGTGATGCTGTTTAATCATAGGCAGAGAAATAGCTTCAGCCCAACTACCCTCAAACTCAAATGACAGTTAAACCATGAGCTTAGTTGTGGTTGTCCCCAGGGTTTTTATGAATAACGGTTCATTTTGTTTTCACAAAAACCTTAATAGGGAAATAGGGTACCTAGGTTATCCCAGCATTATAGCTGAGGACACTCAGGATGGTAATGTGTCAAGGTCACTTGCAAATTCACTTGGAGAGTAAACGGGAGAGTGGGGCCTAAGCCCAGCATTGTGACCCTGGGCACCAGAACTGGGTTCAGTTGAAGGAAAGAGGAAAAAACTCATCTCAGCATTGAAATTATCACAAACCCTACCTGCTGTATGACTTGACATAAAATCTGTAGGACTTTTGTATAACATAGATGTTTCTTCCCTCCTACTTTACAGGGCCCATGGATTTCAGAAAATCACGTATTTGCAGGAAAAGACCTTGGGAAAGTGGTAAGAGCACCTGAGAATTCTTCATAGTTATAAATGAACAGTGTTTTCTACAAAAATAGCCATTCTAACTTCTTTTAATGTTCTTCAAAGTAAAATATAAATTTAACTTTAGTTTGGATGTTAACTGCCATATAAATCAGGCTAATGGCTGTAACATATAAACAAGAGGAGGTCAAAGACTCAAACGCAACAGAGCGCTAATTTTCTTCCAGTCAACGTTCCTGGGAGGGTGAGAGGGCGGGGGCGGGGCTCTATTTCACAAAGACTTTCCGGGAAGCAGCCCCGGGGAGAGCTGCCTTCTTCCAGGGAGAGGAGTGGAGCTAAAAATAAATATGAGCACAGATACAAAACCAACAACAGATCGGTAACCAGACAAGAAAAAGGAGAAAGAGAATCTGGGAAAAGAAAACAGAGGGCCAAGAGGAAGCGGAGATGCCCAGCAGGGATGAAATACCTCCGTCCCCGGGCTCAGGGGACAGTGAGGGATAAAATACTGACCTGCAGGTCATGTGACTACAAAAGGCAGATCACGGAGGTCTGAGGAAGGGACATTCTAGCCCTGGGTTTCCAGAGCTTCCCAAGTTTTTTATCTGTTGGCTTCTTTGTCATACACTGAGACCTTCAAGGGACATTTGCTCCTGCAGAGAGAAGTCATGAAGGATACTCCGAGTCCAGTGCGGACGAGGCACCCCCTGGAGTCTGGAGCCCTGCGCTGAGAAGTGATACTGATGAGGAAGGTAAGGACCGCCATCGCTGGGCTCCAGGACAGCAGGCGGCTGAGGTCAGAGCTCCTGCCCCTCTGAGCACAGCCCCCGCCCGGGAGCCCGTTCCTGCCTTGCTCTCGCGTGGCGGCTCAGAAGGCTGCAAAGGAAGGGAGCATCGTAGTTCAGGCTTAAAGAGACGGCTGCTGCTGGATGGCAGTGCGCCTTGCTACCCGTCCGCAGACGGGTCATCCCCCAGGGCGGTGGGTCACAGAGTGAGGGCCCCCTGCTCACCACCTGTTCTGTAGAGAGCAGAGAAAGTGTGACAGTCAGCTGTGGGCCAACTTTGTCACAAACCTGTTCAAACCTCCATAGACTCTGGTCATACTCTCTCATTACTGACAGAAGAAAACACTTCTGGTTATTGCCATCAAATTTCATTTAGAGCCTTTGACAGATGACCCCCAATATGACATTGGCCTATGTAGTGATATTCCAAAATAGCTTTACAAAAAAATATATATTGTTTTACATTTACAGCAACCTAAAATGTAGACCAGATGACTGTTGTTCTCCTCATTCCACAGATGGGGTAACTCTCATAAATAAACATACAACAATCTGTTATCGATCACACATGCTAAGTTAGTGGAAGAAGCAGAATGTACAGCTTGGACACCTAGCAAACATCCATAAGTTTTTATTCAAAGCCTCTGAAGCCAGAAGTAAAATCATATTTTATTGTTTTAGAAAGACACTGCAGTTTATATCCTATATGTTACAAAACACCCCAAAAGTTTTTCGGGCACAATTCAGTTCTACAGTATACTACAATATATTAATATTCCTTTAGCAAATTGTGAGAATTCACAAGTCTAATCAATAAAAAGTTTACATAGACTCATGGCAGCTAAGTCCAGATTCACTGCCAAATTAGTTATCAGAAAATCTATGAAAAATGGTTGGTTTTCAAAACTTCTTCGATTCTACATGTGGGCTAAAGGATTATGGGCCTTTGCTTCATTTGGCAGTGATCTCTTTCCTTTAGATGGGAAGAGACAGAAATAATCATCTCCACATCTTTATGTTCCAAATTCTTCTACAACGTGAGGAGTCATAAGATATAACTGCTTTTGCTATGGATCACTGGTTGTGTTTTCCTTTGCCTCCTAGATTTTCTGGATATTGGAAATCAATCTACTTATGGGATAAGTAACAAGCAAAGACGTAAGAAAAATTAAAACTTTGTTATTATTTGATGTAATAAATAGTTTTCTTTGCTACAAAAGCTTCAGTCAATTTTTTGGTTATATCCCTTAAATAAAAAAGTAATTTGTTGGGATTTTAGTTGATATACATTATACATTTTGCATTGGGTGGACTGTGCTAACTGGTATAAAATTTCAATGGCACAAGAACAATACAAGTTCATTCTTCGCTCACAAGGATAAGTGAGTTCCAGGAGGAGGGGTGCTCTGCTCCACATGATCTTTTAGGGCCCACCTAATGGGGGCTCTGGAGTCTTGAAAATGTTGCTTCCACGGTTCCCCTGGATAAGAAACAGAGTAGAGGTAGAAGAAATATGTGCAGACAAGTGGAAAAGGTATAAGAAACAGTGACAAAAGGGAATGCCTTCCAGGACAAAGTTGTCCCCTGTCTTTGGGGATGATCCTGGAGCCACCTTGATCAACCGGTCAGATGGAGCCACAGGGTGGCCCAGCTGCAGAAAAATTCCGACCCCCCCTACACAAGCTTCCCTTTTCCAATTGTCCTGTCGAGGGTTCCGTGCTGGGTGGGTTCCTAAGACGCAGACAGAGGCTGCTATGGAATGTTCCTTCTTTCTGCAGGAATCAGCACTAGTGACTCTTCAAAACCGAACAATGAAGAAGAGTCTCCGGAAACTTTTAGCTCAGCCCTAAGATGGTCAGGTAAAGAAGATTAAGATGCCAAGCCTTGGCCTGCGAATGTCAGGAATCTGAATTAAAAAGCTACTGTTTCCAGATGCATTTTTATTCCGAGCACCTTGAAGACCTTTATGCCCGGTTAACCTGGGAACTCCTTTCAGCATTTTAGGAAATGGAAGGAGGCAGAGGATTATTATAAATCCATGTATAATAATATGAGTCTTATTGACTAAATGTATGTAATTATATAACTCTGTTGTAGAAGAAATAATTACCAAAATGATGACATCTTTTTTAATATTTTCTCTCATGCCTGCTTACATTAAGATCTTAGATGTTTATAGTGATGTATTGATTAACACCAATATCATTTTCAATTGTAAAATCTCAGTAGAGAACTGGTTCTGCTATGTAATTATAGACAGAAATAAAAGTTTCAGATCACTCTCAAACTTTAGTATAGTTTTTGACAGATTTCCATCACATTGTAATTGGATTATATCATGTTCTTTTAAAGTACTTTGGCAAATAAGATCTTACTTTGTCATCACAAAATCCTTAAGATTTAGGCAGGCTAACTCTTGTTATCCCCATTTTGGGGTGAGGAGATTGATGTACACATCTATAATGTTCAAAAAGGGTGAGGTTTTTATGTAACAGGCAGGAAGATAAGAGTTCTGGCACATGATCAAAGTCCAAAGAGGAGGTACAAGGGACCTGGCAATTCACAGGGGAATGCATGAGTGTCTCATACAATAAAACTTATTTAACAACAACAATAAATAAATAAATATATACATGTGTTTGTGAGTATATATCTCTATATATACACACACATATATATGTATATATAGGTAGGTGTATAAGAACCAATATTGGTGTGGATATTGAAATAGAGAGAGAGAGAGAGAGAGAGAGAGAGATGGAGAGGTGAAATAGAAATCCTATAGAAACAAAGAGGCAGGAATAGAGCCAGCTACATGATATACAAAACACCCAGAGTAATAAGCTAAAATAGAGAAATAAAAAATGAGTAGAGATTAACAGTACTGTTGATTTAAAAAGAGAGAAACAGAAATCAGAGGCAGAGAAGCTCACAGAACTGCCATGATGGAACTAGAAAATGCAAGGCAGAGCAATGAACAAAAAACAGAGAAATAAGGAGACAATGAGGTCTGACTAAATAGAAAAAGAAACAACAACTTCGTGCTGTAGGTGAGGTATAGTCATTGGAGCAGGTGTATGTTTCCTCAGCTCATCTGAGCTGTGAACCTAATTCAGCCTGACCACATTGAAGTGTGTTCCCTGGTCACATCTATTGTGTGTCACTTTCTTACTTTCCTTCAGTGTCCTGTGTATTGAAATCTCTTCAAATGAATAGAGGAAGAGAGTCAGATGAGATGCCAGCCTGTGAGCATGTGGGGAAACCAACCGTGATACTGCTTATCAGTTATCTTTGTTTCCCTGTCTGCACAGAGGAAAGGCTCTTTCTTCCTTTCCCTACCTCTCCCCAAAATCATTGCTGCACATGAGCCCACACTCATTTACAGACAGACGTGGGCACAGGCCAGGACAACATCATCTGACTTGTGGGGGCTGGAGAGAAAGAAGAGCAGGACTCCTGAGTGGAGGCGACCCTGAGGGGGTGATTAAGGAGGAAGAGTGGGAAAGATAGGCTGGGGTCATCAAATGAAAAGATATCTGAGGAAACTTCACGTTTTTCTAAGTGAACATGAAATCCAAGTATCACCAGATGGGGGTTTTTAGGGGGAAGAGGAATGACTTTCAAGACATGTCTCAGAAGTTTAGCAGAAATATGGTAATAAAGTCCAAGACTGACTGACAGGCCTGCAATATAGAAATCTCATAGGGAACTAGCTGAAAAAATAATGGTCAACAGTGCCGTCGATGTCAAAAGAGCAGGCATGTGATGACGATGAAAGTAGTAATCTGTGAGATGAAGCCAAACATAGATGAAGAAAATATAAAGACAAAGACAAAGATTGCCATTGTAAACACAGCCAGAAGATCAAGATAAGATTGAGAGAAGTAGACTAAAAGAAAGAGAAACATAAGGCAAGTGACCGTGGAAAGATTACTTCAATAATAAAACCAGATCCAGAGATAGAAATACAGAAAAATAGATGGGAATGAGGTACATACAGGGGGTGAAAAATGGAGGGGAATTAGATGAGGCACAATAAGAACTGTGTAGAGACAGGATTATAATATGAGAGAAAAATGGTAGGGAAGAGGGGCCGATGTGAAAGAGAGAGAGGAGGAAGATGGAGAAATTGTGGGATCTGAGATGACCATGAGACAGAGGCAACGTTGGCACATGGGGTGATTCACAGTAGCAGTGAGTTTTCAGAGTAAGGTGTCCCCAGATATCAAAGTGGCCCCTGGAACTCGCCCAGATTACTGGACACCTCACCAGGCATCCCATCCACTCTTAAGGCTTCAGTCACCGGCCACCACCTAATGGTTCCTAAACAAACACCTCCAGCCCAGCCTTGTCTCCTAAGCTCCTAAACTCACTCATCCGTGTGTCAGAAAGGCCTCTGGACAAGGTCTGGAAGGCCTAAGACTTCTCCACTTAGATGCCTTTCAATTTGAAACTCAACACTTCCAAAACTGAGCACTTCGTCTTTTCCCTAAAACCAGCTCTGCTTCCTGTGTTCCCCAGCTCTAAAACACACTGTTAATTTGCCCATTCTTTCAAGTTCATATTTTCAGAGTCGCCAGTGACATTGCCATCTCCCGAATCAACATAGCCCTCTGTAACCTAAGTCCATGAACTCTTCCTTTCAAATGTCCCCACCCTGTCCACCACCACGCCATCGCTCTGATCGGTGTCCGCCTCCCTTCTCACTGGAGCTAGAGCTACAGGCTGCTCCTTGTCCCCCACTTCTAATCTTGGTCCCACCAAACGTATCCTAAGTCATTGAGCTAAGCTGATCTTTCCAAAGCATGCCCATGCTGCTACCCTACATAAAATCCAATGTCCTACACTTTCCTTTAGGATTAAGTTAATTCTCTTTCTTTTGACCCTCCAAGCCACCTACCTCGAGGCTCCTGCTTCTTTCTTCATCATCATCGTTGCCACTAACTTTCCTACTGCACGTTGAAACATCCGAAATTCCTTGCATCTGTGGAATGTGGACCTTTGCACATGCTTCTCCATCCACTTGGGGCTGTTGTCTTGGTCCCTTTCCTCCCTGACCTGGCTAACTCCTGCCTTGGCGGCATATCTTCTGGAAGAGGTGCCTCATCTCAGACTAAGCTAGTTCTTCTGCCTTATCTCCACTCCAGAGTATTCTGTGTAATCTGTGTTCTAACATTCTTCAAGTTTCAATATATTCACTTCTTTATGTGTCTATGTCATGGTTGCTCTGAAGATTGACAAGCATTGACGCTTCAGTAGTCTTATGCCCTACATTGTTATCAGCATCCACCTCAGCGCCTGGCATATACATGAGAGAAGCTTAGCAAACTTGTTAAGTGAATGGAAAGAATAGTTTACTCTCTGTATGCCAACATTTGGAAATTTGTCTGGCAAAAGTTAGTTTTTTAGAGTATTTACATGGACTATTTACCAAAAAAATTAATAATTATATATACATTTGTGTGGACATATAAATGTAACAGTTTTTCTGAAAAAGAATAGCATCACATAAAAAAATACAAATTTTTATACAAATAAATACCAAAAAATGTCATTCAGGAATAGATGGGAGAAGGATGTAAATGAAAAATAGAAAAACAAAGATGCAGGTTGGGGCAAAGAGGAAAAGATAATGGAGAAAAAACATATTGAAAGGAAGGGAGGGATGATAAAGAGCAACAGAAAAAGATATTTCAGAGGTAGAGCCATCTTTTGAAGTAGGGGTGGCGGAAAGAAGGATGTTTGGTGGGCAAGGGCTGCAAATAAAATTGCAATTTAAAATGTTTTACAAATCATAACATAGGAGAAGAGCTCCAAGGACTTGGAAATGAGAAGTGCTCCTGTGTCATGTGTTTATCCAAAGGTGTGCCCAGAGGCCAAGAAGCAAGGACTGAAAGTAGCCAAGCTTCTGATATGGGTAAAGCCACCCAAGGGTCTTGGGGTGGAGGTGATTCAGCGGATACCACAGACCCTTGGGATGTCAGTGATAGGTGAGCAGGGTTCAAGGGCCACGTGAAGCAGATCACCAACAGCAAGTAGGTCAGTTTTGAAGGTGAGAGTCACAGGACCAAGGCTGCAGGGTCTCAGGAGTCTGAAATGAGAGTTTCTGTTTTCCGCTGCAGTTGACTCCGGGCACATGTGGGTACGGAAGGGATCCAGTCCGTGTCAGAATCTCGTTCTCCACATCTGTTGGACCTGGCCCATTTGGGAACAGCAGGAAAGCGGGAGATGATGATTACAGTCATGTTTAACGGAATGGATCCTGCTTATTTTATGTGGATGGTGTAGTAGAAATACGCTGATTAAAAAACAGCAGTATCTCGTGTACTGTATGAGTATATCAGTTGTTGGATTTATATAGTGACTTCTGCCTTTGCTCATGGAGACAAGAAATCTAGGTGTTCTTCTATTGGAGGATAATAGTGTCACAACCCTGAAAAGACCTCAAAAGACACATAAATGGTCCTGCTACCTATCAGGAAAAAGACCTCAGATAACTATTCTTAAACTCAACATACAGTTTTGAAGGCTGTCTTCCAGAATCTATGGATTGATATAGTGATTTCTCATTAACTTTTGCAAATAAGATCTTATTTAATCATTAAGAAATCTAAAGCCTAAACAGGGTAACTTTTACTGCCTACCTGTTTCATAAATCAGGAAACTGGTACACATAATAAGTAATGAAGAGTTTTTTCAAAGCCTCAGAGAAATAAAGACTTTAGATATCAATTTGTATCTGATTCATTTAAGTTTTTCTTTTCAGAGAAAGAGAGACAGAGAGGGTGCGAGCAAGAGAGAGAGCGAAACGTCGATTTGTTGTTCCATTTATTTATGCGTCATTCATTGATTCTTGTATGTGCCCTGACCGGGGATCATACCTGCAACCTTGGGGTATCAGGATGATGTTCTACTAACTGAGCTACCCAGTCAGGGCTGTTTAATATCATTTAGATGCGCAGACATCATTGTAATCTCAAGCCTTCCACAATGTGAATTGTCGTAAGATTTGTAACTTTTATATATAAATTATAGTTCTCTGACCACCACCTGTTACTTTCCAGATACCATGAATACTGGAAGGAATTCTACTTTGGAAAAACACAATGGAAAAAGAAGTAAGAGAGAATAAGAATTTACTTGATATTTATGTTACAGATTAACTATTTTTTAATGTTAAAGTTTATTATAATTATTTTCCATGCCTTCCATAAGACCAAAAAAATCCATTTTAAAGTAACTACATTTTTCAAAATGCCCATATCTATATGTTGGTTTTTATTATGATTTTAAAGTATATGTGGCTTATAAACATCAGTGTATATCTTTCCAGAATTTTTTTATGCATGTATGAGTACATTTTGGAATATAGTTTTATTTAACTAGGTTAATTCTATGTATACTTTTTCTTTTCTTGCTTCTTAAAATTAATATATCACACCTAGACAATAAAACATTTAACATTTTTAAGAGTTAAGAAAGTCTTATTTAAGGGTGATTTAACATGCATTATTTTCATTTTTAATGTGGTGGAGCATTTCTTTATTGGTTTTGGTCATTTGTTTTACTTCTACATAGAATGCTTTACTATGCTGAATGAATATAGGAACTCTTTTTTTTTAAGATATTCTTATATATAGTCTTGTATGTTGTTCCAGTTGTTTTTATTTTTGATTTATTAATGTAATCTTTTGTTGTAGAGAAGTTATAAATTTATAGATAGTCAAATATGTCACCTAATTCTTGGGTTTCCTGTCATATTTACAATAGTCATGTCTAGCTGAATATTTTTTAAATATTATTCAATTTTTGATACTTCTATATTTGAAATATTTGATTATTTTTAAAGTTTGCATCTATAATCCCTGAGTTTTGCTTCTTTGCATATATGTGAAGTGGGAATCATTAAAATATCCCTTCCCCTATTACTTCATGATTTGGAATACCTCCTTGATCACACCATGCCTTTGCCTGTCTATCTACTAGCTTTTGTTCTATAATTGAAAGATACAGAAAAGAAAGTTGATCTCAGAGGTCACCATCCTGATGACTCACTAGGAGTGAATTTTAGAATCAACTCAAAAAGATTTCACCCATCTCCTCCCCAAGTTCATTGGGACCTCTGCACAGAACTGCATTGAATTTGCAGATTAATTTGGACAGAACAGAGATTTCCACCCATTTATTCATATGTTATTTAATGTTCTTCCACTAAGAATTCTTAGTGGAATCTTATCCTTTTTTTTAAAAAAAATTATGTGTTGTACAAATCTGTTTCTTACCATGAATATCTTGTTTTTCCCATTACAGAATAGCTGGAATGAATTTAAATTAAACAAGACTCTCAAAATCATTATTTTAATAGGAAAATTATGGTCATTTTATTACCTGCTTATATGAGTAAATCGGAAATGTCAAGGACCTTTTTCTGATTTCATATGAAATCTTACAAGTATTTATACAGTTTACAGACTCAGGCATCACTTAAAATAGTATGGCCCGTCCCCAAATTTATTGAGACAATCAATCAGAATTAACTGTCTTAGGAAACTGGTTTCATGAGAAGTAACAATAATTTCCAATTTGAGGGAGTATTACAAGACCCCTTCAAATAACTCTGCCATGGACAAATTTATATTAACAGAGAACAGAACAAATTGGTGATGGTTACAAATAGACACAGCTCCACATTTTACAAGACTTACCTTCTTATGAAATTTCTCAATTCGACACTGTTAAATCGTATACATAAAAAATATCTATTCACACTCAGGAAAGACCTGAGGAAGCCCTGAGCTCTCACCCAGAGCTAGCCCTGAGGCTGTGTGCAAGCAGGAAGCAAAGGCTGAGGGAGACTTGTGAACTGCCTAGCTGTATGTCAAAGGCATCACCAACGCTTGTACAGAGCCCCATTGACAAAGGCTAGGAGAGCTATTAGTTCTAGGTATTTCATGAAATCTCTTTCCAATCATGAGCTGACTAACTGAGCAGAGACTTCAGTGGCCACATGGCAAAAAATACAGTTTGCCAAATTAGTTAAGAAAAAAATGTACTACAAGCATACATCAGAAATATTGCAAATTTCGTTCCAAACCACTGCAATGAAGCAAAATTGCTATAAAATGAGTCATGCTAATTTTTTTTCTTTCCCAATGCACATAAAAGATGCTTAGACTATACTGTAGTCTCTTGAGTGTGCAATAGCATTCTCTGAAAAAATGTACATATCCCAGTTAAAGAATATTTTATTGCTAAAAAGTGCTAACCATTATCTGAGGCTTCAGGGAGTCATAATCTTTTTGTTGGTGGAGGGTCTTGCCTCAATGTTGGTGGCTTCTGACTGATAAGGGCAGCAGTTGCTAAATGTGGTGACTGCAGCAATTATTTAAAATAAGACAACAGTGAAGTTTGCTGCATTTATTGAGCCTTCTTTTTACAAATGATTTCTTTGTGGCATGTGATGTTGTTTGATACCATTTTACCTACAGTAGAAATTCTTTCTAAGTTGGATTCAGTGATCCCAATCCTTGTCACTGCCTTATCAACTAATTTGATGAAATGTTCTAAATGTTTTGCGGTAATTCAACAATATTCACAGCTTCTTCACCAGGTGTAGATTCCATCTCAAGAAACCACTGTCTTTGCTCATCCATAAGAAGCAGCTCCTCATTTTTAAGGAGCTGCTTAAACCTTTGTTAAAGGTTTATCATGGGATTGCAGCAATTCAGTCACATGTCTTCAGGCTCCAATTCCATTTGTAGTGCTCTTGCTATTTCCACCACATCTTCAGTTACTTTCTTCACTGAAGTCTTGAGCCCCTCAAAGTCATCCGGGATAGTTGGAGTCAACTTCTTCCAAATTTCAGTTAATGTTGACATTTTGACATTTTTCCATGAATCAAGAATGTTCTTAATGGCATCTACAATGGTGAATCCTTTCCAGAAGATTTTCCATTCATCTTTCTCAGATACATCAGAAGAACAACTATCCATGACAGCTCTATTCTTTGGAAATGTATTTCTTAAATAATAAAACTGGAAAGTCAAAATTACTCCTTGACCCCTGGGCTGCAAAATGGATATTGCCTTAGCAGGCACGAAAGCAACATTAATGTCGTTGTCCATCTTCATCAGAATTCTTGGGCGACCAAGTGCATTGTCAATGGACAGTAATATTTTAAATAGAATCTTTTTTTGTGAGCAGTAGGCCTCAACAGTGAACTTTAAATATTCAGTAAACCATGTTGTAAACAGATGTGCTATCATCCAGGCTATGTTGTTGCATTTGTAGAGCACAAGCTGAGTAGATTTAGCATAATTCTTAAGGGCTCTAGGACTTTCCAAATGGTAAATGGGCACTGGCTTCAGCCTAAAGTCACAGCTGCATCAGTCCCTCACAGGAGAGTCAGCCTGTCCTTAGAAGCTGCAGTGGGGTCCAACCTGCAGCCAGCAGGCCGCATGCAGCCCAGGATGGCTGTGAATGGGGCCCAACACAAAATCATAAACTTACTTAAAACATTATGAGATTTTCTTTGTGATCACATGTTGCAATGTATTTATTCTGTGGCCCAAGACAACTCATCTTCTTCCAGTGTGGCACAGAGATGCCACAAGGTTGGACACCCCTGCAAAGCCTTCACTGGCTTCTCTTCTCTAGCTATGAAAGCCCTACATGGAATCTTCTGTCAGTACAGAGCTGTTTTTTTCCACATTGAAAATCTGTTGTTTAGTGTAACCACCACCTTCATTAATTATCTTAGCTAGATCTTCTGATAACTTCCTGCAGCTTCTCCATCAGCACTTGCTGCTTCACCTTGCACTTTGATGCTATGGAGACGGCTTCTATCCTTAAAGCTCATGAACCAGCCTCTGCCAGCTTTCAAGGCAAGCCTCTGAATCACAGGACATCTGAGATTTATTGTGCCTTGATCTCCCTGTCACTTCTTCTCATGTACTGTCAGCTTCTGCCTGATTTCAGGTGCTTTTTACATTTTTCTTATTGTGAATGAGAAAGCCTCATGTGAATATGTACTAATGAAAGCACGCAGTCAATGACTGGTACTGTGTAAAGGTAGGTTGTTTTCGTTGCTATTGTTGTTTTCAGCGTGGTGCCAACCCAGAGGGTGTGTTGGTAGCTGGGAATTTAGCCCCACAAAAGTTGAATGAAGACAAAAATAAAATACTTGAAGTTTACTGATATATAAAGCTTGTAAGTCTCTATGTATAATCCTAAATGATTGTTTTCTTTTCTGTTTAAAGGAGAAAAGAGAAGACACATAAATGAAATTAGTTGTTTCCTAAAAGGTAAGAACAAATGTAAGGATTCATACCTGCGAGCTTGTAGCAGACCTGGTCTTTCTGCCAGACCCTCTCTTTGCCACAGCCCTGACATCTTCAAACACTAAACAATGTTTGAACGGCTTCAAATGTTGGAACAAAGAGAACCTAAAATACTGTGACTTAAACCACATAACTTGTTTCTCTTTCATCAAACAGTCCAGAAGTGGCAGGAAGAACCTGCCTTTCTCAACATAAAGTTTCCCTCTCTGAGCCCAGGAAGGCCGACCTGGTTGCCATTGTCTCCCAACCAGGGGGAAGAGGAGAAATGGAACGGGAAACCGTCCATCTATTTCTTTTCACTGAAAGACTCAGAATCTTCTGTTCACACACAGTTACCCAAAACCTAGTCGCATAGCCAGAGCTAGTTGTAAGTGAGGCTGAGAAATATCATCTCTAGTCAGGCAGCCATGGGCCTATCTGCAACTCTGTTCCTGTGAAAGAAAGAAAGAATAATTATGGGTAACAAATAGCTATCTGCCTATTTATCCTCTGTGTTTTCATTCAAAATCACTGATTTCCTCAGATAAGGAGGAAAATTCAAGCTCCCCATTGGCCTTCTTGTCAACCCAAGACCCTTTGGCAAGAAAAAGGGCTGGAACCTGAATGCAGCCCAGAGGTCTGTGGCGGAGACAAGCCACCCCTCTGTGGGAAATGAGGAACCAGGAAGTAGCATTAGGAAGGGTTGCTGTCACTAAGGAACATGGCCCTCGACAGAGCAAGGAGAAAGAGGCAGAAAGAAGTTGAATCGGTTAAGCAGAAGACAGAACCCTGGTATCACA